TTTAGAGTAATTTTGAATACATATTATAGATTAGAGTAATTTTGCATTACCTTGTTCCTTAGTTGAAAAATTTGTATGTTTTAATGGGTTATTTTGAGGTTGATTTAATGATTAATTATGAATATAATAGAGATTAGTAAAAATGTTACTTAATTAGTTGAGTTTTTGTATGTTTTAATGTGTAATTTTAGGTTGTTTTAATGGGTAATTGTGAATATATTAAAGAATTAGTGACCTTGCTTCTAATTAGTTGTGAATAAATTAGAAAATTGTGAATAAATTAGAGAATTGTGATTACATTATAGATTTGTGAATAATTTAGAGAATTGTGATTAAGTTAGAGAATTGTGCATAAATTAGAGAAATAGTGATATTGCCACTTAATTAGTTGTGAATAATTAGAGAATTGTGAATGCATTAGAGAATTGTGAATAAATTAAAGAATTGTGAATACATTAGAGATTTGTGAATATATTAGAGAATTAGTGACGTTGCTAATTTTTTTTTTTAATATATAGATTCATATGTGAATTGAAGCAAGAGTTTAATTAGCTTGAGGACTACGTACATATTGAGCTCAAGTGGGTAGTTGCTATATTGGTATGACTACTAAACTTTACTTAGCTATATTTCTTTCTATTCATCCATTTAATAAAAGTTTATTCATGAAATTGCAACTTGTGTATTGTTTAATTGCAAATAAATACAACAATATATAGAATACTTGAATTGCATCATCATATGCCTAGATACCCTTTCAAGGCTTTCTCATTAGGAGAAAGTCTTGAATAGTCCCCGGTTGGGACTGTTCTTGAATGTGTACTCTCACTTAGGTGGTGAATGTATGTTTTCTTTTCGATTTTAAGGAACATCTCGGCTTACCATTTCCTCACTATGTTCTCTGGGTACATATGTGGGTAATTAATTATCTACATCGTGTACTTGGAGAACTAGGGGGAAATGCTGCCGGATTTTCCTTAAAATTGGAAAGTTGACATACATTCACTAGTGAGTGTAGACATTCAAGGATGGGTTAGGTTGGAGTGATAAGGACCCTTTGGAAACATGCATTTTTTCACTATATGAATGGTATATTCACGTTTTGTACTTGAATTTGATTTACATAAAATATGTAGCACTTACACATTATAATTATATGGTGCTATATATATGTTTAGAGACAATTTACTAAATGGAGAAGGATCGTGGTTGGATGTATGGTAGACGCGATACATTGGAATTTTGGAATGGGGTTCAAGAGTTTTGCGAGAGGGCTTTAGCTTATCAACGCACACTAGGAGGCAAAGGCCTTTATTGTCCTTGTGTTGATTGTAATTGTGTGAATGTGGTCGATAGTGTTGAAATCATTAGAGATCATGTATTATGTCGTGGGTTTAGGCAATTTTACCATGTGTGGATTTGGCACGGAGAAAGTGGAGAGTACAGTGGGGATCTTGATCGGAATGATGTGCGTGTTAGAAGCACTGAGATTCATGTGGACGAGGAATACGAGAATGATGAGTATATTGTTGATAATGGTGAGGATGGGGCCGATGAAGATCAGGCGGATGAGGTCGAGGATGAACAAGTGGATGAGATGTTGCAAGGTGTTGAAGGTGAAGTGTTTGAATTATTATCGGAGGCTTCCAAAAAGCCTTTGTATCCCGGGTACAAAAAATACTCCAAACTATCGGCCGTGCTAACACTTTTCAACATTAAGTCGAAGCATGGGTGGACGGACATCAGTTTTACTTCTTTGTTGACCGCATTAAGTGATATGTTGCCTGATGGGAATGAAATTCCTAAGTCTTATTATTACGCAAAGAAGCTCATGTGTCCCTTTGGTTTGGAGTATAAGAAGATACATGCATGTCCTAATGACTGTATTTTGTATCGAAATGAGTATGAAAATCTGCAGGAGTGACCACGATGCAAGCGGTCGTGGTACAAGCACATGAGTTGCAATCCTGGCACGGAGGGACCCCCTTCTAAGGTGTTGTGGTATCTTCCCATTATTCCAAGGTTTAAGCGTCTCTTCTCAATACCAAAAGACGCTAAAAACTTGAGGTGGCATGCAGAGGGAAGAAAGAAAAACAGAATGCTGAAGTATCTAGCTGACTCTCCACAGTGGAAGAACATTGATTTGAAGTTTGAGGAATTTGGTAATGAAGTCACAAATTTAAGGCTTGGATTGTGCACGGACGGGATGAATCCATTTGGCACTCTTAGTACCCAACACAGCATATGGCCGGTACTTTTAGTGATTTATAATTTGCCTCCTTGGCTGTGCATGAAACGTAAGTATGTAATGCTTTCATTGCTAATAACTTGTCCTAAGCAACCTGGAAACGACATAGATGTTTACCTTGCGCCGCTTATTGACGACTTGAAAAAGATGTGGGACAAAGGGGTTTCCGTTTTCGATGCTCATCAGAACGAGATGTTCACATTGCGTGCAGCCCTTATGTGGACCATGAATGACTTCCCTGCATATGGCAACTTGTGTGGGGTACAAGGTCAAAGGGAAAAAAGCATGCCCCATATGTATTGATGACACATCAAGCGTATACCTAACTCATTCTCACAAAGATGTGTACCTACGGACTCGAAGGTTCCTTAGGCGTGATCACCCGTACCGTAGGCAGAAAAAGGCTTTTGATGGAACCGTGGAAGAGGATACTGCGCCTAGACCATTGACTGGTGCTGAGATTAGTGCTCGGGTGAAAGGGATACAAACGGTGTTTGGAAAATAAGAAAAAATTGTGGTCTCAGCTGCTTTGTTTAAGAAAGAATCAATCTTTTGGAAGCTGCCGTACTGGAGAGAACATGACGTTAGGCATTGTCTTGATGTGATGCATATAGAGAAGAATGTGTGTGATGCTCTTTTGGGGACGCTTATGAATATCCCAGGCAAAACAAAGGACGGAAAGGGTGCACGGTTAGATTTGCAAGAGATGGGGATTCGTTCAGAATTGTGGCCTCAAGAAAAGGTCAGAAAGGGAAAGAAGCCGAGAATAGAAGATGAAAGTGTTTCGAAAAAAGGGAAGGAGACGAGCAAGGGAAAGGGAAAGGCCAAAGATGCGTCAAAGAAGAAAGTTAAGGGTAAAGGGAAGGATGAAAATAATTATTTACCCCCAGCTTGCTATACATTGTCAAGGGTAGAGAAACGTATGTTTTGTGCATGTTTGTACGGCATTAAGGTTCCATCAGGGTACTCATCTAACATGAAAAGATTTGTAACCTTAAATGGAGAATTGAAGCTGATAAGTATGAAATCCCATGATTGTCACATTATGATGCAAGTATTCCTACCGATTGCAATCCGTGGTATTCTACCGAAACACGTGAGGGAAGCGATTACAAGCCTTTGTTCGTTTTTCAATACAATTTGTAGCAAAGTTCTTGATCCTTGTACACTAGATGCTTTACAAGCTGATGTGGTTGTGACTTTGTGCAAATTTGAGATGTATTTCCCACCCTCATTTTTTGACATAATGGTTCATCTGGTTCTTCATTTGGTGCGTGAGATTAAGTTGTGCGGTCTAGTGTTCATGAGGTGGTGCTACCCTTTTGAAAGACACATGGGTACATTACAAGATAAAGTACGGAACCGAGCTCAACCTGAAGGAAGTATAATGCAAGGGACAGTGGGTGAGGAGATAGGTAACTTTGTGGCGGACTACATAGCCCTTGCTCAACCTATTGGTCTTTCTACTTCTCGACATGAAGGTAGACTTGATGGTCATGGCACAATTGGGTCGAAACGAATGTCACCAGACCGAGATCAGTTCTTACAAGCACACCTTTATGTGTTGCACCATGTTTCAGATGTGCACCCATATTTAGACGAGCACATGGCTTGTTTGCGTGCCGAATTTCCATCCAAAGGTGAAAGGGCACTTATGCAGTTGCATAATAAGAAATTTGTTGATTGGTTTCGTGAACGAGTAATGAGTGGATTGAATGATACTAATGTGACCGATACAGTACGGTGGCTTGTGTACGGTCCTAGGGATGATGTTCGTTCATTTGAGGGATATGACATCAATGGGTACACTTTTTGGACCGAGGCTCGTGATTTGAAATCTTCCTCCACCCAAAACAGTGGTGTAACTCTTGTGGCATCGTCAAGGGAGTTTGCAAGTTCTAAGGATAAATCACCTGTCGATGCAGAGTTGTCATACTATGGTCGAATTCAAGAAATATGGGAGCTTGATTATTGTGACTTCACGGTTGCTCTTTTCAAGTGTAAGTGGGTTGATAATATCAGGCGTAACGTCAAACATGAGGACTTTACTCTTGTAGATCTTGGCCACTTGAATGATAGTGCGGAACCATTTATCCTTGCATCTCAAGCTAAGCAAGTGTTCTACGTAACTGACCCAATGGATTCAAAATGGTCTATAGTGCTAGCTGGCAAAAGAAGAATCCTAGGCATTGGAGATGTTGAGGATGAGGAAGAATATGATGCGTTTGATGATTCAGCACCTTTCACTGTTCCTAGACCTGGAGTACTAAATGACATAGACAACGAAGCAGGTTATATGCGATCAGACCACAACGAAGGAATTTCAGAATGAGGTAGTTTGATTAAAAGTTAGTAATGGTTTCATTGCAAATATAGTTTAGTTATCATGTATATAGGAGCATAAGTAGGCGAAAATGATATATTTGTAGTTTGAAATTGCCTAAGTGTACTCATTATCATGCATATACAAGGTTATAGGACCATAAGTAGGTGAAACTGGCATAAATAGCTTCTACTAAACCAACTCCTTTGTTTTGTGTATGAACTAACATTTATTCATTCTAACAACCTATTTTCCATATGTAGATTGAAATTTCCATTTTGTACTCATTATCATGCATATACAAGGTTATAGGACCATAATAAGTAGGTGAAAATGGCTAAAATAGCTTCTACATAACCATAATAACTATCATGCATATACTTTACTATAAACTAATATTGTTTTATGATTGCTTTGACAGGTGCTTATATCTCATGGCGGACGATCATGATCCTCGTTTGGTAGAGGACATTGACGATGATGAGTATGAGGACGAGTACGAGGATGACGACTCCGATGATAGTGATGGTCCTTATGATGCGAATAAGGAGGATGACTTGGGTGAGCCAGAGGATCAGGCTCAAGATGAGTTCGAGCGTAGGCTTGACGATTTTGAAATGTCAGCTGAACGTGCACCGGCCATTGTAACTACAACACGTGAGATTGTTGGTGAGAACCCGACTCCTGAAAGTCAAGGCCAAGGACAAGATGAAAACAACACAGGTGGTGGAGGGGGGGAAAAGGCACCGGCTGAAAGAAAAACAAGGGGTCCGACGAGAAGCTTTAAGAAACCGGACGGTCCCATGGTCTTGGAGTATGACAACAAAGGCCAACCCGGGCCCAAATGGCGTCGACAATATGCTAATCAAGTTGGCTTATGTTCGCGGAAAATCCCCATTACACTTGTAATGCGGCAAGTACCTCCGGGTTTGATTCAAGCATTTTGGGATGATACAAGGGTAAGTGTGTTTTTGGCACATTTAGACAATTTAAGATACCTTAACCTTATGATTGTTTTTAAATATCAACTAATAATCGATTTTAATTTGTGCTTGTAGAGGCAGTTTTCTATTCCTAATGATCCCGAGAAGAAAAGGGTGTTTGTCTCTTTATTAGGGGAAAGATTCAGAGGCTTTAAGACCAAGTTGACTAATCGGTGGATCCAGAAGAAGAAGAAGGTGCAAACAAAGAAGAAGAATGCCAAAGAGGATAACCGTCTCCCGTGGCAAATATGGCCGACCGTGTCAAAAGATGATTGGGAAGAGTTCGTTAGAATGAAGAGTCAAAAGAAAGCCATTGTAAGTTTGTGTAAATCTGATGTCAATTGAATAATAGCTTGACACTTTTTGTATTAATGAGACTAACATTTTTTGTTTTGTAGGAACTTCGAGAGCAAAATCAAGCGAATGCAGAAAAGAAGGAATACGTCCATCGTATGGGTCCTAAGACTTTTGCTGAAAAGAGACCTGAGTGGGCCGCTTCGGGTTTATACCCTAAAGCGCTTCTAGTGGGATCGAAGGAACCCTCTAGTTCCACGATCACTACATTGGTGAGTCGTGCCGGTGATTTCTTTTGTTCTCTCCATTCGTTTGATAAGAAAACCGGAAAATGGTTCATCAAGGGTCCGGAAGCCAAAAAACTGGCGGATAAGCTAGTAAGTTACCTATGAATTGTTGAAATTAAGTCACTTATGCATCTAATCACTGTACAAACCATTAACTGTTTTACTTACCTCATTTTTCCTTATGCTATAGCTTGAGCACACTCAAGAGATGGTGGAGGGAAAATTTGAACCAAGTGTGGAGAATGACCCTTTCACCATGGCTTTGGGAAGGCCATACCATCCAGGACGAGTAGTAGGTTCGGGAGGGTCATTGCTTGGATGGAATAAGGTGATGGGTCCCGAATACACAAAATCGAGTAGATCTCGAGCCAGTGTTAACTCACCGGGGGAGTTGGATGCCAAGGTGGCATCAATTAAGGAACAAGTACGCAACGAGTTAGTTGGTGAATTGAATGCTTGGGCGAAGCTGATGAACTTACCGACTTTGCCGTTCCTCACTCGTACCCCGGTCGACTCATGTTCTGAACCAGAAGGACAAGGAGAAGGTGATAGACATGGAGGAGATGAGATACGTGGTGAAGATGTGCCACCTCAGGTAAAATCAATTGGGTTATTAAAAGTTTTAAAATACCGAGTTAATTGAGATTTTAGGTGCAATGATTGATGTACTGTTGCAGGTTCCTACTCCTACTCATGCGGACTCGAGGGAGCTTGAAAATCCAACACCGCATGAATTTCCAGAGTTACAGGTGATTTGTAACCATCTACCTTAATGAATTTTGTTATATCTATGTTGTTGTAAAAGTCCTATTTAACTATCTTCTTTTTATATATATACTTGTGTAGGAAGACACCCGGTGTGCACTTCTAGCCTCGGGGCATGCAAATAGTACCGTGTTGAGTTTGGTGGCGTATGGTAGTGCCCAACCGACGACGGGTGCTACGGCAGGGCCACATTATTACTCGGTTGGGATCGATTCACTGGTTGCAGGGTTCAAAGACATCCCACTACCCATACCGATAGAGGAGGTTGAGATAACAGCGCTTTGGCAAGCTGTAGGTAGCTTCGTTGATTGTCCACGTGCATGGGTGAAGTTGATTAATAAGGAGGTAAATTAGCTACTTACTTGCCTATTTTCTTCATTTCTCAACTTATAAACTCCTTGCATCTCAAAACAACTCATAATCACATATTTATAAGTGTTTGTCATTTGAAATTACATAAAAATCGCCAAGTTCTAAGTTTTTGGGTCTAATTCATCAAAAAAAGCCATTTTGACCCGAAATGGCTACTCACTCGGCTATTTTCTTCATTTCTCAACTTATAAACTCCTTGCATCTCAAAACAACTCATAATCACATATTTATAAGTGTTTGTCATTTGAAATTACATAAAAATCGCCAAGTTCTAAGTTTTTGGGTCTAATTCATCAAAAAAAGCCATTTTAACCCGAAATGGCTACTCACTCGGCTATTTTCTTCATTTCTCAACTTATAAACTCCTTGCATCTCAAAACAACTCATAATCACATATTTATAAGTGTTTGTCATTTGAAATTACATAAAAATCGCCAAGTTCTAAGTTTTTGGGTCTAATTCATCAAAAAAAGCCATTCTGACCCGAAATGGCTACTCACTTGCCTATTTTCTTCATTTCTCAACTTATAAACTCCTTGCATCTCAAAACAACTCATAATCACATATTTATAAGTGTTTGTCATTTTAAATTACATAAAAATCGCCAAGTTCTAAGTTTTTGGGTCCAATTCATCAAAAAAGTCATTTTGACCCGAAATGGCTACTCACTTGGCTATTTTCTTCATTTCTCAACTTATAAACTCCTTGTATCTCAAAACAACTCATAATCACATATTTATAAGTGTTTGTCATTTGAAATTACATAAAAATCGCCAAGTTCTAAGTTTTTGGGTCCAATTATAAGTGATTGTGAGTTGAAACTTATTATTTCACAAACTATTTCAGATTCCAATGGAAGCAAAACTTCAAAGAGAAAGAGGGTGGAGAAGCCTAAAAGAATTTATCAACCTAAGAAGAAGCTAAGTGAACAACAGTCCAAGAGTGAACAAGCGTCGAAGTTGCACTCTTCGAAAGGTTCACACATGCCACCTACTCCACTTGTTGAAGACATTGTTCTTCAATCGCTCTCTACTGACATGACCTTTCTTCACAACCGTGCTTGTCATTTGCTCGATCCCATGGAAGTTGCACTTACTAAGGCAATGTTCCACTATGATGAGGATGCAATTGCATGGATCAGCAAAGAAGATGTGAAGGAATTTCTACGTGGTGCAAAGCTTAACATTTCCCTCATTCAAACATTCATGAGGTACTTCAATGCCCACATAATCTATACTTTTTTCAAGTTATTCAAATTGATGGTGATTATCCTACATCTGATAAATTAATCAATGTTCATGCACGCAGAGCACTACAGGAGCACTTAACTGACACTAATTCTCCTTGTAAAGTTGGGTGGTTATGCCCCGAGCAGTTATCCACTACTAAAATCATAGGCAACCCCCATGACGTGTTGTACTATGTTGAACAGAGTATAAGGGAATCAACGCGTGCGGGAGACAAGTTCATATTCGCCCCATGTTATACAGAGTAAGTCTAACCATGTCAAATTCAATCGATTTGGCCTCATTATATGTTGACTCCTAAATATTAATTACCTTGTCTATTGCGAACTTATGTAGGGAGCATTGGAGCCTCATGGTGATTTGTAATTCCACTAACACAATTTATCACCTTGATTCAGCTCGATCATCGGAGAAGTGGCTCGTGAAGTCTATATTGCAAAAGTAAATATATATAGCAACCTATAGTGATGATTATTGCTAATAATAACTAATTTAGTAATCATATGACTAATCAAATTTGATTGTATTTTTTTATACTACAGTGTTATGAAGAAGCTACATTGTCGTGCTCCAAAGGGTCCAACATGGAAGACACCGTCGGTAATTTACATGATATTATTGTGATTATCTTGAAAATCTATGGTAGTAAATATTTTCTCATTTCCTTTGCATGTTTCACTGATGTGATTTGTTTTTCATATGCTAGTGCGCACAACAAGAGAATGGACTTGATTGTGCTTTGTATGTGATGAGATTCATGCTTGACATTGTGACTCATTGTACGGACACTCAACAGCTTGATGAGGTAAGTCCTAAAACCTCTTGAAATTCTATATTGATGTGATTTCACGCCTTAGACACTTAATATTACCCAACAATGGTATGTTATGAGAAACAAAAAAGCTATTTCACAAGAAAGGTAGAAAATGGGCTGAATAGAAGTCATATGTGCCATGTTAGGGCCATTTTGTGTTAATATGCTCTTTTGATGTGATTTCTTTCCTTATACACATATAACTAGATAATATTGACATGTTATGAGATAAATAAAGTTCATTTAATAAGAAATGTAGGAAATAGGCAAAGTAAGGTCATATAGGCCATATTCGGGCCATTTTGAGTAAAAAGCGTCATAAACCTTAATAAAATGCTCTCCTATACAATTTTAGGGCTTACACACATAAAACTACCCAACATTGACATGTTATGAGAAAGAAATAGTTCATTTGATAAGTAATGTAGAAAATGGGCTACATAGAAGTCATATAAGCCCTATTTGGGCCATGTTGAGTAAAATGCGTTGTTAAACTTCTTGAAATGCTATATTGATGTGATTTCTAGCCTTAGAAACCTAATATTATCCAACAATGACATGTTATGAGAAACAAAAAGGCTATTTCACAAGAAAGGTAGAAAATGGGCTGAATAGAAGTCATATGGGCCATATTAGGGCCATTTGTGTTAATATGCTCTTTTGATGTGATTTCTTTCCTTATACACCTATAACTAGATAATATTGACATGTTATGAGATAAATAAAGTTCATTTAATAAGAAATGTAGGAAATGGGCAAAGTAAGGTCATATAGGCCATATTCGGGCCATTTTGGGTAAAAACCGTCATAAACCTTAACAAAATGCTCTCCTATTCAATTTTAGGGCTTACACACATACAACTATCCAATATTGACATGTTATGAGAAAGAAATAGTTCATTTGATAAGTAATGTAGTAAATGGGCTATATAGAAGTCGTATAGGTAATATTTGATAAAATACATATTTTTTGCCTAATTAATTATTTTTAAAATAATGTTTTTGTATTTCAAGTTTTGCAAGGTCAAAAAGGATGGTCCGTTGACAATCAAGGAGCTTAATAAAGTTCGTGACATGTTGGCGTCTTTCATCACCTTCAACATGTAAATGGCATGCATTGTAATTGTAAATTATTTATGTTAACTTTTGAACTATATATAACTTATTATTCATTATATATGTGTAATTACTATTATTTGTATATGTAAGCAACTTTTTTTTTTTTATATTGCGTTTGGGAATATTTATATCTATAATTGAATTCTTGTATCTAATATTATTTTTGTATATAATAATTAATAATATTATTATTAGTTATTATAATAATAAAATTATTAAGTATTATATTTAATATAATTTCTGGAATTACAGGTTATTATTATTGCAGGTTTTTTTTAAAAATATTATTGCACGATGGAAAAAAAAAACGAAAAAAAAAAATTATACAAAAGGCACCGATTAGGCAGGAACCGGTGCCAAAACTATCCACCACCCAAAAAAAAATGGCGGGAGAGCATTATTAGGCAACGGTTAATCGGTGCCTATTCTACCCTATGGCACCGGTTTTGAATCGGTGCCAAATAGCAGGTTTTTGGCACCCCTCAAATAGGCAGCGGTTCAAACCAGTGCCTTAGACCGGGTTTGAACCGCTGCCTAATGCTTTTTTTCTACTAGTGAATAAACTAAAAATTAACAAAACAATAAAAAGACAGTTGCCCGACCCAAGCCCCCAGCCACCTAAAGCTATCAATTCGGGTCAACGGATTGGGTTTGGGTTGGGTAAGTGTGGGTCGAATCAACTCGGGTTGGGTCAATTTGGGTTAATGTCGTAACCTATGCGGGTTAGGTTTGGGTTAGGTCATGCTTGTGTCTGGACATGCGGGTCATACATCTTATCGGGTTTTGGTCAGGTTAAGATCAAGTTACATTCGAGTCGGGTGAATAATAGGTCAGGTTTAACTCGGATTGAAAACGAGTTAGGGTCGTTCTTGGGTTTGAGTCGGGTTGAAATACCCCATATTTTTATATGTATTTTAATTTAAATAAGAATTTCTTAATTTATTTAAATAAGTAGAAATTAATTATTTATGAGGTTTTATTAATTTAAAGAGTTTTATTAAAGGTCCAATTTATATATTTATTTAATAATTTTAGAAATTACTTTATTTTATAATTTAAAGTCAATGGAATTGAAAAGAAAGTCAAAATGTTAGTTTTAATAGGAAATGGATCATTAAGGGTGGTAAAGGAATTTTAAGTAAGTGGGTGTAGTCATCGTTTGAAGTGTGCCTATGTTATGCATGTGTGAATCTGGCACTCTTAGAAAGTGAGTATTAACATATACGATTAGGGACAACAATTAGGGAAAAGGAAAGTAGGTACGGAGCCGCCAACAAGTTTTAAAGAACTTGTAAACCGTTCATGGATCATTAAAGATAACCACGATTAAGGGACAACGATAGGCAACAACGATTGACCCGTGAAGGTTACACCCCATTCATAATCCATTATATTACTAACTCCATATGGTTCGGAACCATGAAAGGAGGATCGGGGATGATGGTACAAAGTCATTCATGGAGTCACATTTGCCTATATTGGCCACGACTCGATTCTTATAGTGAAATGTGATTCCTGCGATCTCATAGGCGTACAAACAAAGATTCAATTTGCTCCAAACTATTGTTATGCTAAATTGTTTGAATATTAATGCAACATATAATTCTAAAATAATGTGATCGCTTCAATTATCATTCATGGAGTCACATTTGCCTATATTGGCCACGACTCGATTCTTATAGTGAAAAGTGATTCCTGCGATCTCATAGACGTACAAACAAAGATTCAATTTGCTCCAAACTATTGTTATGCTAAATTGTTTGAATATTAATGCAACATATAATTCTAAAATAATGTGATCGCTTCAATTTACGACATGATTAAAAAGGAACCTAAACCGGTCGTCCAAATTATGTCATTAGTCGTGATTTTTCTATTACATATACCCTTTAAACATGCACTATGGTGATCATAAAAATATAATAAAATCAACATTAATATTGAAAGAAATTTAACAATAATATATTAGTCAAATCAAATCATACTAAACCTAATCATGATACTAACAACAAGAATAAAAATAAGAGTAATTAAGTGAGTAATTACTCACTTTTCGTGTTTTCTTGAATTTCTATCTCATGAATAAATTTTTAGGAACTTCAATAAAAATATAAATCAAATGGAAATTAAATTAAATTAATGTAGAGTTTATTTGGTCCAAACCCTTAGTTAATGATACCTTTCGCGCCTTGGTTTAAGGATGAAACCTCGAGTCAATTGTGGACTCCTTGGGATGCTTAATGGATGTATGGTGGAAGAATAAGTAAGGCTGGAAATTAATTTTAAGCAAGAGAGAGAAAAGAGAGAAGGTTTTGAAGTATAAGAGAGGAAGACAAAATGGTTTATTATATGAGAGAGGAAGAGAGAATGATTTGATGCCCCCGGACTATAGAAATGAGGAGGGTATTTATAGAGGAAATAAATAGAGAGATGCACGGAACCCTAGAAAGATAAGATTAGCGGAAAAACCGTAATTGGGTACCATGACACGGTGTGTGTACCGTGACACGATATTGGGCGCCGTGACACGGTTTTGTCAACCGTGGCAAGGTACAGTATACCTTGTCGCAGTGTATAGTTGGTCCAAAAATGCGTCCAAATTCATTTAGCTCGTGATAAAAAACGCGAAAAAGACACGTGAAAGCAGCGTGACACAGTACAATGCACTGTGGCACGTTGGCATACACCGTGACGCGTCATTTTAGGTGTTGCGCTGTAATTCCAGTTTTTTTATGCGTTTTAAATGCTATAATAACTTTTAATCTTTAACATGGAAGAAGGCATATAATATATCTTTGCAAATAGTATCAAGTCTAATTTCCAACCCAATTGGAATCAAGTCAAAATAATTTATAGATTTTAAGATATAGGTGTTTGAGTGAAAGGGTATCGATTTTGGGCAGAGTTTAGTGTTTTGCTCATATGTACTTCGTTTCAAATAGGAATTAGGCTTATGATATACTGTTGGAAAGCCTATTGAAATGCTTATCAAACCAAATAATATTTGGAGCAAAATTATAGGGCCAGAAAATAAGTTTCTCTCGGTTTTGCAATGTGGATACGAAAAGTGGAAAGTAAGTTATGGTTTAAAAGGGGCTAGAAATTTGGTTGGTTTATGCGATGTATTGGGATTGAATATGAATTTTAGCACTCCAAGATTAAATACTTTACCTGACTAATGTTTGCGGTGAAATGTTGTTCATCATCAGGTTTGGGTTTGGGGAGACATTTTTAGGTGTCTACAAAAGCCACAACTTTGACTAAGTTTGTAGAAACGTCAGTTTCGAAAACGATAGTCAAAGTAGTAAATAGGGATGGAGAATGATTTAAGACATTCTACGATTCTAAATCACTGTGTATATGCCGATACCTGGAGAAAAGCGTTAGTTCTACAGATAAAAGAGTGAAGAGATAGAACGTGTATCTAACACCAGTGTATCGGTGATGAATATGTTCAATAGTATCTAACACCAGTGTATCGGTGGAAAATAAATTTGGTAGTTTTCTATGCCTGAAGAAATCCACCGGATAAAGATTTTCCATGCTTGGGGAATGTTGATAGATGATATAATCGTTGACTTCTTCGCCTTGACTGGTGGCCACGGCCGACAATTTTTCATGCATGAGGAAAAGCTTGTCTGATGATGAGATTGCAAGTCTCTGTGTATCGAGAACCTTGCGCCGTGAATTGTCTTCGCTTTGGGAGATGATCACTAATGTTTTTAAAATGATGATTGTTCGATTATCCTCAAACATGGGGTGTAGATGGTTCACTTATCCCCCAAACGTGGGATGTAGCTGGTTCGATTGTGCCCGAACGTGGGCTGTGACAGGCTAAAGTCGTATCACCTTATCAAAAATAATTCCTAAGTCCACTAACTATGCAGATAGGGAAGAAGGGTCGAACCACAGGGAAACAAGTCAATTTATTCCTAATAAATTAAGAGTAATCTAAATTATTAAGTAACCAATTTGTTGTTATATAAAGAAACTATACTACGATGAATAAAAGTAGGGAGAAACAAAAGTAAGGGGAAATCCATGAATAAAAGACCTAGGGCATAGGTTCACCAATAAATAATATTCCAGGGTAAAACATAATAATCAATCATCGATGCATCAATTAATAAGATCATAAATGGCTTTTGCTACGTATTACAATCACATAGTTAATTTAACGGTATTAAATCCCATCTCTCGAATCTCGACTTAACCATTTATAAATTAGTCCGCGTATTGAAACTAAGCCTAAACATAAATTCTCATCTCTCGAATCTCAAATCAACATTTCTAAACTCAAACATAAAATACCTGCGCAAGTCTAGTTGCATAGCATTAAATCAATCATTAGGAAATTATTTAAGCATTGACAATCAACAACAATAAATTACCCCTTCATATTATTAATGGATCCCCACAAACCCTAGAAAGAAAACTACTCACACATAATTAAATCTAAACCAATCAAAGCAATTAAACAAGTCATGATGAATTAAAGAAATAAAAATACTGAAATTAATAGAGAAGAAATTATTACCAAAGTTAACGGAAATAATGAGTTGAATCAAGAACAAAGAGTAAAGTTGTAGAGAGAGAAAACAAGAGAGGAAATAAAACTAAGTAGAGAGAGAAAGTCTAAGAGAAGATCTCCTAAAATTACTTAACAAAATCGTATTATTTTAAAATCCAAAATCCTAAATTAAACAAACTAAAATCGACTTAATTAACTTCCTAAGACACGCGCCCGGTTGAGCGCGCCTTTTCTCCCTCAAGTCTTCTCTCGAGCCCGGTCGGGCGCGAGATCGGGCGTCTTGCTTCTTCCGCCCCTCCTGGCTGGGCGTGCCTTCGGGCGAAGCCATCCTGGCCAGGCAAGGCCACTTTGGGCAAGTTGGTTTTCTTGATTGGGCCCCGATCATTCAGCCCAATCCGAGTTTCCTCCTTGGGGCTTGACTACTTGGTCCAATTGCCTCGGTATATCGGTCGTGCTCCTCCAATGCTCGTAGTAGCTTCATAAAATCCCGGGAAAATGCCCCAAATGTGCAATTTCCTGCAAAACTCAACCAAAACTACGAAAACATTAAAAAACAACAATTAGTAACTAAAGTGGCTCAAATGAGATAAAAAACACTACCAATTACGACGAATGGATGGGGGTAAAATACTATATAATATAGATATATTAAATTCCCCTAAGCCAAACCTTTGCTTGTCCCTAAGCAAAGAGCTTATCAATGAATACATAAAACATGCCAAACCCCAAATAATCAAAATCAAGAGCAACCAATTCAAGGCAAATACAACAAGCATGCATCAACATCAACCAATCTCATCCATCCAATCACTCATCCTCCCTAACAATTGTCAAATAGAGCAAACCACAAGAGCATATAGAATTCATGACTAGTGCTCACACACTCAATGCTCATTTATGTGGTGAGTAAAAGATGTATTCGATCGCTCTCCTTCCCAACCCCTTTATGTGAACAATGCCCTCCCAAACTCACAACACTCGTGTGTAAAAAAGAAAACATACACTCAACCTAAATAGTCGACTCGGAATATGTCCAGTCATTCTTTGCATTGATAAACAACTAACACTACTACAAAAAGTGGAATAGAAAACGCAAGATAGAGAACGGTTAGGTTGGATAAGCGTTTCATAGAACTATATAGAACGCTTTTCATGTTCAGGCGTTCTATAAAGGAAAGAGTATAGAACGCTTTACTATATAACCGTTGTGTACTACTTTCCAATGTAATTCAAATTGGTGGGCCTTGTGCTCTTTCATAAATCACGTACAACCTTTCTTCTTTAAACCTAACTCAACGTCTTCACCCATTTTTTTATAGCCGCCATTAAATCCTAAAGATTAAGTTTGCAACTTCCTATATCATATTCACGGACCCCAAAAAATACTAATGGTGATTAAAATCGGTGGTCTAAAGTTCGATCTTCAGAATTTTGTGTTGTTCCTGAATTTCTTATCATTGATGGAAATGGTATGTTCTTCTTGTTCATTTTCTAGATCTATCTAGTGAATTCTTTGAACAGTTGGTGTATTTTTTTTTTTTTTACATTTTTAAACAAAAGAATTTTTGTATCTGTTAGTTTTTTTTTTTTTTTTTTTTAGAATGAAGTATACTAATGGTTGTATATTTAATTGTATCCCAATGTATTGATTTCGAAATAGAGATGCATTTCCATTATCGATTTGATTCATGTTATAGTAACTCCAATTATTAGATTCAATTACCAGGCCATTAAACAAGTTAAGATCTGAAAATTTTTTTCTTATAATTTCCTCCGTCATATCTTCTCCTATGTAATCCCCAACTCCTATGAAATTAAAGATGCGTATTTTATGATATATATGATACTCTGTATCAATTACTCAATTAGTCCGAATTCTCCCTCTTTTTTATACTAGATCTATTTTTTTAATCAATTGCTCCCATAAATTTGGTTATATATTTTTAGATTAAATAACTTGTTTAACTTTATTTGATTTCTGATGATCTGATTGGAGTTCAAATAAGTTCCACTTGTATATTTTTAGTTGATTTTAGGGGACGGATATGCTTTTGTTAGTATAACTTTAGGATGATTGAGTTCATTCTTTTTCTTTTAATTGATAAGACTTAGGATTATGATATTCATGGATATAAGTTTTACAATACATTATTTGAACTTTGTATCTTGCTCTTCTTGTTTTTTTTTTTTTTCTTCAATTGATTATTTTCTAAATTTAATTTATTGAATATGGAGTGTGTTTTTATTGTTGATATATTAATCTAATATACAAAGTAACACTTTTGTTTGCATTTGCAGATATTTTGAAGTCAAAGAGTTCATAAGTGATATGGAGTAATTGTTTGAAGCGGAGTAACAAAGATTTGTTGAAGTTATAAGTTAAAATGTTTTAGTATACAAGGTTTTGTACATGAGCTTATTGGTTTTCAATTTTCAGGGTAGTTGTGATGATAGGGTAAAAGTTGTAGTTCTATTTGATATACTTGGTAATAATACTCCGTATTTTATTAATTAGATGAATTTATTGTATATTTACTAATACTATGTATGTATTTTACATTGTATTGTATAGTAGTATTTTAACAAAAGTTCCTTCCATGTATAAAAATCCGGCAACAATATAAATTAGATATTATTATTTTTTAAAATAAAAGAAAAATAGAGAACAGTTATCTAACTTGACTGTTCTCTTTTGTAATATTATATAGAACGGTTAAGTAGCCTAACCGTTTTGTTTTCCTACATTATTTTACGATTTTAGGAAGGGAAAAGAGAACGGTTGTGACTAACAACTGTTCTCTATTTGTCAGTACATAGAACGCCTATTTGACCCGTTCTCCATACTTTACACATCTCTTAGCAAAAGAACGCTCCTAAGACGTTCTATAAAGCCTATTTTAACCGTTCCCTAAGCCCTTTTTTTGTAGTAGTGTAATTTCACAGTCACACAACTCCGCTCTATGCACAAAGGTCAGAAGGTCTTTAATGCTTGTAATGTAAGGCTAGGGTAAAAGGTAGGATAAATTTGGGAAAATGTGAGAGTAAAGCCATGCTCAAGGGAGCCATATTCTAACAAACCCCAAGGTCAAAAACAAGTAATGACCGTATCATCACCAACACAACTCAACTCCACCAAAAATTCACCAAACAACTCCAATCATATCAAACAAATCCCAACACTTACAATTTCATTCACAAAAATATAACAATGTAAACTTGAGTGAATAAATAACTTTAACTTCCAAACTTGAATTTGTTTCTCATTGAAATACAATTTTTTTTCCTTCTTGATCAACCTTCTACTAGAACATTTGAACATTTACATTTTTTTTCCCTCTTTGCTCTTTTTTTCTTTTTCTTTTGAAGTTCACTCTTTTTCTTTTTTTCTTTATTTTTTTTGAACTTATTTTTTCAAAGAAATTTAATTTCAAGATCATCAAAAATAAAACACAATTAAGAACAAAAACAACTCCTCATATCCACCCGAATTGTGCAAAAAATATGCACACAACAAAACACCCTCACCTCACTCATTAATAGCTCCCGGAAGCCAAGCTTAGGACTAGTAACCAATTGGGCAAATTGGCTTGTAATGTGGCTAATAATCAACAAAAATTCAAGGCAACAACATGGGTAGAAAGAAGGGAACAAATGTATCTACAATCATCTAAAGGTCAACTAAAAGAACAAATGCCTCAGGCAACAGTTTTATTCCAATTAAAAATCTGATTTGTTTCTATCGATTCTGGACAATTTTGTTTTAAATAGGGGTCTTATCTCCCCGTTTTTATTCATTGAAAATCACCAAAAATTTCTCTCTTCTCTCTAAATCTAAAAGCTTATTCCCTCTCAATTCTTTTTCTAAACCTTCCCTCTTACAAAACTCCACATTCACAAGTTCTAGACACACCTAGCCAAGTTCGAAGTTGTCTTTGCCCTAGACGTGAAAGGTTGATAATTTATGAGGGTTTGGTCCCAAATCCCTATTTCAATAATTTGATTTGATTGTTTGATTTAATAGTTTCCTTAAAGTTACTAACGCGTGTAATTTGTTATTAGAAAGAGATACGAGGTATCCAAGTAAGTAATTTAATTTTTATTCTTTTAATGTGGAAATCATGCTTTAATTATATTAATTACTAGTATCGTGTTAGGATGTCTTTATCAATCCTAGTATCATGTTTAGGGTAATAACCAATATTTCTAATATCCTGTATGTTTCTAGTATCATGTTTAGGTTGTTTCCTATTTCTAATATCATGTTAGAGCTAAAGCTTTTATCATTAATGTTTAGTGACATGCTAGAATTTGTTATTAATCTTTTTAATATCATGCCTAGGATCTTACTAATATTATTATGCTCTATTGAGATTATTATGATGATGATCATTGTTGTTGTTATGTTGCTTGATATATATTATTGTTGTCATTTCTTGATCACGCCCTCTCTTGCAGGTTTAAAAGGAATTTGTACTTGTAATCACGCTTAATAAGATAATTAATAATCTTGTTTAGGTTAATGTGATAATAATTCAAGTAATCGCCAATAATAGTTTTTCTTATGTATTAATTTTCAACCAACGTAGATTAAACATGTTTAGGGTTCACCTATTGATTGTATGTTAGTCAGAAAGCGCACATGAGTATGAGAAGAATAAAGTAGAGGCCTATTATTAGGGAAGATTCAACATCTTTAAGGTTTGATTTGTACCTTCATACCTTCATCCCCGAATATCTAGTCATGGTTCCAGACCACTATGGAGTTCAAGTGTAACCTTCACCCTACGAACGGTTTACAAGTTCCTAAAACTTGTTTGCGACTCTTTTACTCTAGCTTCCTTCCCTTTGGATGCCACCATGCTTAAGTGTATGGTCACAGTGGGGCTTAAGTGTGGGATGCTTGAAATATTCCCTATAGTTTTTTGGCGACTCCGCTGGGGAGGATTTCTATTTTAATTCCTCAAATTTATTTTGGCAATAATTAGAATGAGTGGACGAGACTCGAAAAGTTCTAAGTATTCATGTGCGTAATTTTCATTGACATTATTGACATATGCATAAAAAAAGGTCCGTAGTGGAAAGACTAACAGTAATGCATCAAAAACATAGGATTTTTACACGTACAAAATTTGAGAAATATCTTTCACAACTAGGAACGAAAAAACGCTATGAAAAATCGGAAAATTCAAAGAACACAAAGCTGCTTAGGCATGTAGGAACCGGCGTCGAGAAAATAGACTATCGCCATGCAATAGCTCTGTCACTGCGCGACATCAATTTTGTTTGGCGACAAAGCTATCTTATGGCGACGGTCTCTGTTTTCTCGCGCCATGTTCTTCCAATACCAAGCTATAACTCTACCTTCTTTGTTTCGACTGATTCTAGTTTATTGTGTTTTTCTCACTTTTTTGAACCTATATGTGTTCTACATATGGCCATAACCCTCTGGGACTTCGTGCTCCATTTACCCAATGGAACGCTTATGGCAACAAAAGGTACATCCGAATTTGTTGAATTCACCAAACCGTGGAAGTAAGTTTAACTTGCGAGGTCCCATCCACTCGCGCCAACCCTTCTAAAGGTAAGGCTTCCGCGCGGTGCATTTGAACTCATAACCATGGACCCTCTTTGACTAACCCATATCATGAACATTAGAGGAATAGAGCCATGGTTAGTTTGCACCTTATTGCATCATATTGTGCCTACTTGACTACTTGGGCATTCTTTGCTTGTGCATAACCTATATGTGTTTACACTAACTGTTTGTTTGACTTGTGAGTGAGTTTAAACTAAACTAATTAATGACTAAAGGACTTTGCTTAATTAATTAATTAATATGAGTAATTAAATTCTTAAAAAATTATCAAACCTGATTTAGTACGACTTTAGTCTCATCCCTTTAGAGTAAAATATTAGAAATAGTCCCAGACTAATGTTCCAGCAATGGCGCAAAGGTTTAGACTATGGCGCAACACACTGGTGTTTAGCGCCAGGCGATAAAGTTGTCGTCTGGCGTTGGGATCCAGCATGTGGCGATAGTCTTGTTGCTCCGGTGACAGTCTAGTTTTCTGCTCGAGTCTTCACGACGAGTCTAATTAATGAATTTATTAATTGGTTAAACCAGTTTATTAATGACCGTAGTCATGTTTAGTCCTTAATTGAGTCTAAGTACGTAGACACATGGTCATGAGACGAGTCAAAATTGTGATCTACACTTATTAGTCTTAGCACACACTTTGTGCATATGTCACCCTGACCATGTTTAGGTTCATGCATGGGTTGTTTTTTCGTCATTTGAGTTGGGGGCCTATTCTATTCCCAATTCTCCCATATTTCTCTATTTACATCATTTTTTCACTCATATTATTCTTCATTTATTGCATGTTTAATAGAGCTTGAGTCAAAATAAAAATTTACCCCCAATTTCCCTTTCCATAGCACTTAGTCAAGGATAGAAGGGCGTTTAATCAAGGATAACACTTTTGTCCAAGTACTATTGTTTGATAAACCGATTCGACAAAAGAGAAAAGCAAAGAAGAAAATGGCGTCTCAGGAAGAAGTCAATGAACTTAGGAAAAATTTGGCCAATATAACTAAGATGATGAAGGCTATGGCTCTTCAGATTAATGAACCTATGAAACAACAAAATATGGAGCGAATGCAAGAAAGCTTGATCAAGCTCTCCAATGGTTATAGGTTCCAAGGAATTAGCTCACACAGGGTCTTAATGGACTAGGAGCTTCTTCCGCAGAAGTTCAATGCCAATGACATTCCTAAGTTTAAGCCAAATGACAATTCTTAATTTCACTTAAGGCCTTTGGAAACTATAATGAACATTAAGGGGATTGATAGGAATATTTTTCACTCTTTGTTCTCACTATCTCTAGAAACCGTTTGTCAACATTGGTTCTTTTCTCTTGATAAAGAGAAGACCGCTTCTTGGGATCCCATAATAAACGCTTTCATAGATAGATACAAGTGCAACATCCAGGTCGACACGGACCATAGACAACTTGAGATGCTAAAGCAAAAAGGAAACAAAGGGTTCACCTCTTTCTTCAATAAGTGGAAGGAAACTTCCGCTAATATGGTTGCAGTTGCTACTGAAAGGAGTCTATAAGGATATTTATCAAGAACCATCCAAACAAGTATTCAAAACATTTTAAATATCAACATAATTTGAATACTTTCAAGGTCGTCTATGACATAGGTATTGAAATCGAAGATGACCTTGCAAAACAGAAAGCTACTAACAATAACAACAACAGTGGCTGGAAAGGAAAGAAGAACGACAATCCTTCTTCTTATGAAAACACCCACTCTAGCAACAACGTTAGTACCTTTGATTTCAATGAAGTCTTAGCAATAGGTAGTCAAAGACCTAAGAAACAACTAAGGAAAGAGTTCACCCCCATTGGGATGAACTACAATACCGCTTTCAATCGACTCCATGCAAAAGGACTCATTACTCCTATTGGACCTCTTCAAGATCCATCATCCAAAAACAGGTCACCCAACTGGAATGCTAACGCTCATTGC